CTCACTGCCCAACACCGACTTCTTGTCATGGACCTCTGCGTAAAACCCCGTCGCAGACACGCCGAGCGTTGCCGCCGTCAAATCAAGTGGTGGCTGCTGGATCAAACCAGATACTCAGAGTTTGACTCTGCCGCTGGGGATATTAGTCTCGACACAGCAGACATGTCCATCCAAGAGTGCTGGAAAACCATTCAGACAGCAATTACAAAGACGGCAAAGCAAGTTCTCGGCGTGGCGAAAAGGGGCCGCAAAATCGACAAGGAGACCTGGTGGTGGGACGCCACAGTACAGGGTTCATTGCGGGAGAAGAAAGCGCTCTTTAAGACGTGGCAAGCGACCAAATCTCCTGAAGATCGCGCATCTTACAAAACAGCGAAAAGAGCTGCCAAGAAAGCTGTAGCCAGAGCCAGGCGTGACCACTTGCAACCATTATATGCTAAGTTGGACACTCCTGAGGGGCACAAGCTCATATATAAACTGGCGCGCTCTAGGGCCAAAGCAGCGCAAGATATTACTCGCTGCTGCAGCGTCAACGGTCCTAATGGCGAGCTCCTGTACGATGATCGTGCGGTGAAGGAGAGATGGCGCTCTTATTTCCACGTTTTGCTTTACTCAGCGCCGGGAAGTGCACCCTCCCGAACAACTCCCGAACCATGGACTCGTGCCACCGATTACACCTGACAAGGTCCTCGCATCTCTTCGTCGCATGGAGAATCGGAACGCTGTCGGACCGGACGAGGTGCCAATTGAAGCGTGGAAAGCGCTGGGGGCTCGTGGTGTGTGCATTCTTACTAACCTTTATAATAGAATCCTGAGCGACTGAATAATGCCCGATCAGTGCTTAGTATAATAACGCCGGTCCACAAGGGTACAGGGTCCGTTCAGGATTGCGGTAATTACCGCGGTATAAAGGTGATGTCACACACCATGAAGCTCTTCGAGCGCATTATTGACACCAGGATCCGACAGGAGTATACAATGTCGGACTCCCAGTACGGTTTCCAACCAGGACGCAGTACCATGGACCCTATATTCGCACTAAGGATCCTCATGGAGAAGCACAGGGAAAAGAATATGCCCCTGCATTTTTATTCCTAGATCTGCAGAAGGCCTTTGACTGTGTTCCCAGGGAGATGATCTGGTGGGAGTTGCGGTCGAAGTTGGTACCAGAGACATACGTGGAAATCGTACGTGACATGTACCGCAACTCTGATTTAATAGTCAGGACCGCTGTTGGTGATACCACCCCCTTCCCCATAACCGTAGGCGTGCATCAGAGCTCCGTCTTAAGCCCCTATCTCTTCAGTGTGATATTAGACGAACTGTCAGCCAGCGTACAGAAACTACCGCAGCCTTGGCTGCTTATGTACGCTGATGATATCGCACTGGTAGATGGGGACAAAGGACGGCTCACCAGACGCGTGCACGCATGTAGGAAGGCGCTTGAGAACGGCGGGCTGAAGCTAAACGTGGCGAAGACGGAGTGTATGGCCTGCAACAACACAGATCTGACGTCTCTCCGTATAGGCGACGACACCGTCGAGCGCACGGACAACTTCAGGTACCTCGGATCTGTGCTTGATGCGTCCGGGGACATCGATCGCGACATCAAAGCCCGTATATCAGCGGCTTGGGCGAAATGGCGCGAGGTGACGGGTGTCATTTGTGACCCCAAAATGCCGGTCAAGCTGAAGGGACAGGTCTATAAGACCATCATAAGGCCTGTCCTTACGTACGGCAGTGAGGCGTGGCCGGTGCTGGAGCGACACCAGCAGTTGTTGCATGTCACGGAGATGAACATGCTGCGGTGGATGTGTGGCGTCACGCGGAAAGACCGTGTACGGAATACATACATCCGCGGCAGCCTTCATGTCCGTGACATTGCTGACAAGCTGCAGGAAAGTCGCCTCCGCTGGTACGGCCACGTCTTACGACGACCGGCAAGCTACGTAGGAAACAAATGCCTGGACATGACCCTACCTGGTACCAGGAGTAGAGGACGGCCCAAGAAACGCTGGCCTGATGTCGTGCAGGATGACATGCGCGCCAATGGGCTAGTTGTGAGGGACGCCGAAGACCGGGCAAAGTGGAGGAGGAAGTGTAGGAAAGCGGACCCTGGGTTCTCCCGCGCTGGGCGGGATGAGCAACCGGGATAAACGCTAAGTAGAAGAAGATATCGAATACCGTAGTCGCTTACTTTTCCAGCAGGAAAATACCATTTTCCAAATTTTCTAAAAACATGGCCCTTTAAAATGACTCAAATGCTGGCACTAGAAGTCATTCCAGATGGTCACACATACTTCGATACGAAGGTAGAAGATATGCACAGGTGAAAATCCAGTGGTGTCTGGGGTGTACAGTGTTTGGGGTGGGGAAGTTGATAGACTATTAAAATGGAGCCCTTACTTCAATAGTACTCTTCAGATGTCAATAAAGTACACTTTTACCACTGTTTGTTTCCATTGGAGTGAAGAGATTGAGAATAGTAGTATGAAATAAGTTTTACGTTGACAAATGTAATAATAAAATTATTTAAAAAAAATTAAAATAGTAATCCAAATTTAAACCAATATTGACAAGGCCAACGATTTTTGTTACATGTTTGTTACAAAACTAGGAAAAATTCCAAGACAAATGGTGAAAATCTTAATTTAATTTAAATAAGTTGCAATAAAGATGCTTTAGACAAACTGACACATCCTAAAGAATAGAACATGAAAAGATTTCATAACATACATATTTATATGGCTAATGTAGTCTAAGTAAGAAACTTAGGATTAGCCATCTAAACTTAGGTTTCACCACAAGCATTAGCTTGTGGTGAAACCTATATTAATAAATGTATATTAATATAGGTTTCACCACAAGCTATGTTTATATTAATAAATGTATAAGCAAATGAAAATAAAACAAAAATAAAAGTTACATGATTTCAATTATATATTTTATTTAAAAAAGAATCAACCACTATGTAATTAGTTAAACTTACATAGGTACTAATGCAAATAATAAATGAAAGAATTACTTCAAGGAAATTAAGCATGCAACATGGCACAAATGTTAAAGCAAACTCACATATTGAAACTCCATCCATGGTCAGCTAACAGATTAATATATTTTATCAAAACTTGAAATGCACAGTCAAAAGTAGATCTTATTTCCAAAATTTTTTGTGGTTGTGAGTGCCATGTTACCTCACGTACAATGTTTATTTTATGCCACAATGGACTTATATGTATACTAAGAGACGGGATCTGTGGCCTTAATACATTTCCCACAAGTTACAGTTAATTCTCCGTAACTCTTAGTTGACTGCTAGTGGACTAGCAAAAGACTAGTTCTTTATTTTGTAAGCTGTGAACATTGTTTTTGACAATCTCACACTGATTTTGTTTAACATAACTAAGAAAACTCTGTTATTACTTTTATGTAAGTGTGCACTTTGTCGACATGATTTGTAGTTTATTTCCGATAAGTATGTATGTAAAGGTATGTAAATACAATAATGTGACTCTACAATGGATCAAGGGACATAGTGGATCCAGGGACAATGACTCAGCAGACAAACTGGCCAGGGGAGGATTGGCTTTGGTCACCATAATTATATATAAATGTTAAGACCTACATGTTAAAAACAATATATATAATTTAATAACCATTAATATTATGTTACTACAAAGATATAGATACCTGCATTCAGTATTTCAAACAAAAGAAACTAAAGTTCTGGAGCACTGGACACAGTTATTTCACAGGCACAATTTCATGTTAAAATAAAATGCCAAAATTAATGGGATTGTTATAAACTAATTTGCTTAATTCCGTGTAAAGAAAGAAAATGATGTATTCTGCCCAGTTTTAAGGGGACCTCCCACCCTCCCTCAATCGCGCGCACTATACCCGTCGCCCTTACTCCCAGCACTATCATCCTCAGGGGCATCCTCAGGTGAAGTAGACTCTACAGAGGCTGGCCGCTAAGCGAGCCGAAACTACTGCTATTTATACTACATGCTGATGCAACTGCGCTCCAATTACGTAGAGAGCGATTATAACCCCGATAAATCACATTTTGCTAAACATCTCTTAGACACTGGACACAGCCTATCCAATGACCACTCCTTTAAAGTCTTACATACTTGTAATAAAGGCCTACGACTGTGTGTGCTGGAACAGTTAGAGATATTAAAAAATAATAACGGTAATGTTGCACTGCTGAATGAACAAACAAATGTTTCCAACTTGCCTCTCTTAAACATGTTTAAGCCTGCTCCTTGATGATATATAGCCTCACAACATGGTCGTTTGTCACCCTCACGGTGCGGTGGTCAGCGTTTAGTTGCGTGGTTGTAGGGTAGATGGACGTTTCGCAATAGTTTGTTGTTAATTTCACAGCAAATATCGGCCTTCGTCAGGCAGCGATTGATCGCATGACATAATTGCTCGCTACGTAATTGGAGCGCAGTTGCATCAGCAAGTAGTATATAAGCAAACTAGTTTATAACAATCCCATTATAATGGATTTCCGCAAAGTAACACCTGATTCTATCAATTATTTTGCCAAAATTAACTCATGTTACCATATTGAAAGCAATGCTGTCAATTAGTTATGGTATTTTCATCCAAAACATGGCTTATCTCGAAAAACTATACGCTTTACTTGTTAATCGTAATTTTGTACCAGTACACCCCTGATAGCAAAGTTAAAATCTATCGGTAAAGTTGCCAGACCTGACTGTAGTTGTTTTATTGGTTAATAAATGAACCAGAGTACTAACTTTTTTAATCAAATACAATATGTAAAACAATGTATGTATGTATGTAGGTATTTGATACAGTAAATTTATCTATTTTTCCATGCTATACTTTACTTTAGCTATCATGTACCTACAATAACTTACTACACTATATTTGCCTTGATGCTGCCCCACAGAAATCTCCATAGGCCAAGCAGACTAGAATCCAAAACACTAAACTTTTCACATAATATTACAGAATATTACCTTTATTGCTGTCAAAGATTAATGATGTCAAGTAGGAACAATAACCTGTATAGAAAATGAACATTCATCACATTCAATAACTATTTCGGGTGGTTTAAGTTCACTGGCACACACAGAGTAGTTTCCACCACATCTACACTGATATGAATAAATACTACTAGAATTATCATAATCCATATCTAGAACAGACACTGTATCATACAACAGCAGTTCTTTGTGCTCTTCACATGAGAGTAAGGCATCATATTGTTTTCTCGAGTGTGGGTCCCTTAAAACAGACCAGGCTTTCTGGATATTAAGAAAACTTTCATGATTGTTGCTGGTGATTTTTTTATCAGGATGGAAAGTCAGAACAAGACGTTGATAACTTCTTTTTAACTCTTCTGCAGAAGCATTTCTATCACACTGTAGAATTTCATAGAAGTTAATTACATTAGATTCCATTCTTAATTTGTGCTGTGATGAAACAAATTATTACATATCACCGAAAAGAAAACTTAACATTTTTTTCTTTGATATACTCGACCAAAACCAACCAAAACCAAATCAAGATTATGATTTTTTTATAACTAGCTTTACGGCTCTGGGTTCAAGCCCTTCTGCGCCTAAGTTACAATGTATAATTATCCTTCATACAAGTACATTGCTTCACAATATGTTGAAGCATCACATTGTGCAGCCCTTGGGCTATTTTGATGGCAACTTGAGCCAGCAGACAGCTGAAAGTTGAAAATGGTATCTCAAGGTGCCTAAGCAGACAACCTTATCTTGAGATCACATCACCATTAGAGCACTTGTTTCACAGTTTCCACTAATAGTTCACATGCACTTTAATATACAAAATCGCACCACTTTTACATATCAAAGTCCATTTCAAACCATTATTTAAACAATAATACAGGAGCAGCAAACTGCCGCTGGTCAAGTTCCCGCCAAAACTCTACCTTTTGACAGCTGTCGCCATAGATGTAGATAATATACTATATAGGGCATAGAAAAATAAATATTTAAACTGTTGCATTTATTCGGCTAGGCCAGGCACCCTCCCCCCCCCCCCAGCATATGAATTTGGAGTATATCTTTATATATAAAAATTACGTGTCACATTGTTTGTCCGCGATGAACTCATAATGAAAGTTTACACACTGTGTGCGGTTTGGACCAACTTAAGAGATAGGATACTTTTTATCCTGATAAGTGACCTTCAATATTTTTTATTTTTTCGGATTAAGGATTTTTTCATAGGAAGGGTCGTCGGAAAGGGCAGAACAACATCTGCCTTGCCAGCTGTTATATATATATATATATATTTAATTTGTTAAATGTCCATTGAGTGATTTTTTTAAACAAATTTGCTTTTATCAACTTTTTGAGCTTATCATTGCATTTAATGCATTTTAACGACTACATGGCTGCAGTTTAAATAATTAATATTTTTGAGATGTGCTATTTAAAATACGTCTGCCAGTATTTTTATATATATATCCAAATTCATAGGCTGGGGGGCGGGGGCAGGCTAGGCCCAGCTAGGCCACAGACTAATATGATGATTACGGATAGCTAGCGTAGATAGAGGATAAGTCTATGATGGCTAGGCATTCCAACCATAGATAAATAAATATGTAGCATGCTAATGAGGCACTGACCTCTAGCTACGGCACCGTGACATAATGAGGCTATTTGATTTTCGCTATTTTGGCGCTGACAGCAGAAGTGAACATCCACGTAACTAATAATAGAAATAAGACAGTGTGTAAAAATATATCGATAAGAATTCTATACCCAGGCCTACCCGTAACCTCCATTTTATTTATTTATCATATAATATTGCTTTGCTTGGCGTTAATATTGCTTTTGTGTAGTTATATATTACATTTGTACAACGTCCCATATTTGGCCGTATTATGCATAGTGTTTCATGTCGGTAACCAAAACTTTTGTAACAGAATAATTAACCAATATAGTTTTCTTTGTATGTACATTATCAATCGTATTACACTGCTTGCAAAAGATCACTTTACACTTTAATAAGTATTTACTTTGAATACATTCATAGCTTGAACGTTTGACATCAATTAAAATATGACATTGACGTTCAACACAAATAAACACAAATGTACCAATGTCAAATAGGGTATTATACCCATTTTCAGAAAGTGTTTTAAATGAATCCTAGAGTGATAATTAACCACTATAATTTTTATATAATTTTTTTTTTAAACCGAATAGTGACATAAAAATTACTTTTAATCTATTGTTTTAAATTTTCGCGTGAAAACGCTAGCCGCCATACTGTTCAACTCGTGACGGCACTGTCCTAGAATTTTCACAATTTTGCAAAGGAATGAGATACTTTGGAATGTTTAATAATGAGTTATCATCTATATCATTGTTGTGTTGTGCCTGATTGCAAAAATAAATTATGGATTAAAGTGCCAACTTTTTTAAATATGAGAAATACTTGGTTAAAACTGGCAAGACGAGACCCGAAGGCATTGTCTACAAAATCTAAACTATACTTCTGTGAAGATCACTTTGATGTAAGTATGACTTATATTTAACTATCGATTAAACAAAACAAAACATCATGACATGATAGGTACCCATTGCAAGTCAAATTTTGTAATAGATTAGGTTAATCGCTCGTCTGTCCCGCCCTTTGTGGGCCATTTTGATACCCCTTGCAAGTGCAGTGCGGTGTTTTACTTAATTCCTGTTTTCTTCTATTATACGGGAATAAAGTTTGTACTCAGACCAAATAAAAAAGTGACTTTTTATTTCGTCAGAGGGTTTGTACAAAAAAATATAACAAAAAGTTTTTCTTGCCCAAGCTTATATTATAATATCTATAACATTAGTGCTAAAAGCGAAGTAATAAACTCGCCGTTCGCCTTTTCAATAAAATTCGGAATAAAAGTCAACATTCGTAATGATAACTTGAAAAATTTCGAAATTAGCTAGTTAGTGCACAGCATATAACCTAGTTCTTTGACCTAGTGACGTCACGACGCTATCAAATATGGCGGACATCGTTTTGCAGATTTGAAGCACAGGTATTATATTCTTTAAATTGAAATATAACATTTATAATGCATTTTATAAATAGAAATCAATATTTCTCGTTAACTTTTTACGAAATCTATCATAAATATTCTTTAATTTTTTTTTACATAGTGTAAAATACCCTGTGGCGGCGCTGTCGTCGCGCCACAAGCGAAAACATCGAAGCCTAAATCGCGCTATCAAAGTTCCGAAATTAAAGCAGCATATATAGAATAGCTCCGAACTACCAATCGGAGCGCTGGCCACTCCCCGGGCAGAACACCTTGCCCGGCGGGAGATCTCCCCTTTTCCTTCCACCCGCCACAGTGGTGACCAACCGACGTGATATGAACACGCAACCAATAACCTTCGGAAACTACAACTTCAAATTTTCGTCATCATCCTCAAGTACCCCATTCATTCGCTCCCGACCAGATATTGTCTGCAGTCTTCCCATTCTGCAAGCCATCTAGCTTTACAAAAAAAGGTTCATCGCAGCACTGGAATAATAATACTTCCTGTTCCTTCAAGCTACTCTCTGCGCTACAGTGTTCGGCACGGCTCTGAGCCTTACTGCTCGCCTCTGCTTCACGGCACTCTCGCAGATTACTTGCCTTCTTCTTGACTCACCGCAGACTACAAGGCAATCCCTGGCACTTGCTCCGGCTCATCGTTCTCACCGGCATCACTTGCAATTGCGTAGTACGGCATGCATTACACACCGGCATATCATTCGCACCGGCGTCACTTGCCCTTACGCACACAGCATGCATTCCCCACCGGCATTAAGGACGCACCGGCAATCGGACTGCACTATCGACCTCCGGTCTGAGCAGGGGGGTGATGTGGCGGCGCTATCGTCGCGCCACAAGCGAAACACATCGAAGCCTAAATCGCGCTTTCAAAGTTCCGAAATTAAAGCAGCATATATAGAATAGCTCCGAACTACCAATCGGAGCGCTGGCCGCTCCCCGGGCAGAACACCTTGCCCGGCGAGAGATCTCCCCTTTTCCTTCCACCCACCACAACCCTATTACATGCGACATTCCGTTACAGCATTTTTAGAAAGTGATAATGTACGAGTATTGTTACTTTTATATCATATAGTATGTGTTTATATTGATTTATACAGCATACTGTAGCCAGCTTTCTTTTTTATTTTCTTTTTTTTCTATTTTACTAATTGTTTCATTACTAATGTTAGTTGTAAGTTAGATTTCTTCCATCACGGCAGTGAGTAAGATGAGTTTCCCTTAATGCTAGTTTTTTTAATATAATATTGTATAAGTATAAGATAATTTATTTTTAATTTGTTGTTGCGCTGGGGGCCGCGTGTTTGAATCCCGCACGGAACAAGTGTTTGTATGGCCTACAAATAATTGTTCCGGATCTGGATGTTTGTCCTTGTGCAATTTATGTTTGTAAACTGCCTCCACGACGCAGGATAAAATCCTAGTGTGGGGGTAACGTTTTTTTTTAATAAATAGAAAAAAAAATTTACTTACATATTCTTATATATTTTTGTAATTTTTTTTTATTTTTTTTATTTTTATTAGTATTGTGCCTTTTTAAATGTGTATACAGAAGATCTTAACCTGCATGATCGGATCTTAACCTGCATGATCGGATACCCTCTTTTCTCAATATCCTGACAATCTTAATATAGCTCACATAAACGCACAAAGTATTCCTTGACATTATTCTGACCTTCTCGCATCCATTGACAGCACTCATCTAGTTGCTCTTCTAATTTCTGAGTCTTTTCTCAAGCCTTCCCTCCCTTCTGATCAATATTCACTACCTGATTACGTTCTTATTCGTAACGATAGGGTAGGCAAAGGTGGTGGAGGTGTTGCTATCTATTTACGTTCGGAAATTCCTTACAGGGTTATTAGCGTATCTCTATCAACTTACTCGGAATCTGCGGAACGTTTGTTCCTTGAAATCACACTTTATCATACAAATTTTTTCTTGGAGTATTGTATAGTCCTAACCTTAATTTTTTTTATAGAATAAGGGTGACAAACGAGCACACAGTCCACCTGATGGTAAGTGGTTACTGTGACCCATAGACATCTACATCTATCCGCAATAAAGAATCAAGATGCAGATGCGTTGTCACCCGTGAGGACTAAGATGGAATGCTTCTTTGCCAGTAAAACGGGTCTTCGGTTCTCTACACTCACCATACGAAACACAGCAGCGTTAACCTGCTATTTTACGCTGGTTTTCTGTGAGAGCGTGGTCCTTCCCCGGTCGAGCCGACCCATTCGAGCTACAACTATACTACTAATATAGCTGCAGCTTGGCTCTACCACTTAATATCAATTACTTTGACACATTAGATACACTTCTTAATAATTTCTGTCCTGTATATAGTCATGTAATCTTGATGGGGGATTTCAACACATGTTTAATTAAAAATGATTTACGTACTTATAAATTGCAATCTCTTGTGTCATCTTATAACCAAGAAATCTTGCCTTTATCTGCCACCCACC